ATCTCAATGAAACAATTAAGTTAAATCTAATTGGCAAATTTCAGTATGGCCATCTTTGAGGATTTGAAACTTACTGGAGCATGGAGGCTGAGATTAATGATGTGGTTAGCTGAGGTAAAAATGCTTCATATTTGTTAGCTTAATCTGTTTTATGGCTTCTTCAGTGCTTTTGAAATATGCTTCTCTAATGGTGTAATTTAATGCAATTTTGGTACAGAATCTCAATTAAGGGATTTAGTTCTTGGGAAAGCTATAAAAGGTGCATGTTATGCTAGCATAAGATCTGATATTTATTATTCATTATTTCTGAAATTCGTGTCTGCTATTATCTAGAACTGTGTTTATGCTCATTCATGTGAAAGCAAGCATGTGTTATGCTCCTTCATGTGGATAGCAGCATGTACTAGTCCAAGATTACATGAGTAAAATGTGATTTCAAACATGATATTATGATCACTACCATTTAAGTGAAACTGAATATGGGTCCTTTTTATGTCAGTGCAGCTATCGGTAAAAGTAGCCGACTAGTTGTACAGTTGTGGAAAAAGTTAACTTTCTTAAAAGCTAGTAAATATATAATTGCATATAGTTTAGTTGTTTTTTTTTTCTTTGAATGTAGCACCAAGTTTATGATGACTCGTAATTCCTTAGGAAATCATGATTATGCTAGTAGGTGCAAATAACTTTGAAGAAGCAATTCAGATGGGCTCTGAGACTTATTTTCACCTAAAGGTAATGTAATGATTGATATTATCTAACTGAATTAGAATGGACTTTATAAGCAGAGTCGTAGACTAGCTTCCTTGTCAACGTTTTTTGTTTTTTTTTTTTTTCCTCTCGGGGTGGGTTTATGGGTCTAGTGGATGCAATGTTGGTGACGATGGAGGATTTGCTCCAAATGTTGATGTGTCCTTGCGCTTGTTGATCCCTGCGCTTTACAACTCATCTTCTCTTTTCAGGGAGGATATGGTCATACTTTCCATAAATCTCAGTAATATTTGCAATGGTTCATTTACACTAGAATTATCAAACAAAATCATGAGACCTATGTGATAATCATGATATTCAATCTTTATATTTTATAATTGAAGCTTAAAAACTCTTTTGGGTTGTCCTTAGGATGAATTAATAGGAAAAAATGCATGCGAGTGATGGTAAAAGTAAGCTCTGGTTGCTGATTGCAGTAGATGTATAGATGTTTTTTTTTTGGGGGGGGACATAAATTCCCGTCCTTCTTAACCTTTGACTCTGTTCCATTGTCAGCATTTCTGAAGGGTTGGATCTTATTAATGAGGCAATTCACTGTGCTGGTTATAATAGGAGAATTAAGTTGGCAATAGATATTGGTGCTACCGCATTTACTGATTTTGTTGTTTCATCTGGTTTTATTCAACCATCAAAATCAGATCTACAGGTCTATCTAGAGGAGAGTCTTTACTTGCCAAATCAAAATGAGAAATTTGATATTCTAGAGTGGTGAAAGTTGAACACTCTCAAATATCCTTACTTGTCCAAAATGGCTAGAGATATACTATCAATTCCAATCACATTTACTGATTTTGATATTCTAGAAGTGGAATTTGCTCGTATTTGTACTTCAGTCAAATTACCATTAATTTTTTTAATTACACAAGTTTCTACCTTCATTGAGCCTAAGTGTTTTCTATATGTCCATAATCCATTCAGGCTTCACTGTGTTTGTAAGGAGAACTTCTTGGCTCCATTTATTCGGTTGTTAGGATTGAAGTTATATCGCACTAGTGGTGACAACTCTATTCTGTATGACCATGACCTTGAGAGGTACTAAAACCTTTAGTCTAAATTCTTCATTTTTAATTCTTAATATTTACTATATTCTTTTTTTCTTTAACTCCATGTAAATGCATCTTTTTTTTTAGCAGTTTATCATCTTGGTTTTCCTTTTTTTTTAATTGTTTATTTTTTTAAGTATTAAGATGTTTCATGCAGCTATGCGCTTTTTGGTACGGATGGCCACCAGGTTCCTCAAGAACTCGTCATCAAAGTTGGAGAAGTATTTGAGATGCTTCAGCAGCACCAGTTCAAGAGCTTGTGTCGGACTAACATTTTCATGAAGTTATAATGCGCAGAAATTAGTTTTAGCTATTTGAGATTTTGAGTTGTATGTAAAGCATAAGAAGACTTAAATGTTCAATACAATTATTTTTAGATTTAGATTTTTATTTTATGATTTTATTTGTATTTTTTTTACTCTTGTTTAGTTTGTACATTTTAAAATTTGTAATAAATTGATTCTTATTTATTAAGTTTTTGTCAAATAATGTTAATATTCTTGTAAAAAACAGATGTAATTAATTTTGTGAA